TCAAATCGAAGTATCGGTAGAGAAAAGAGAAAATATCTTAAGAAATGAGTTTTAATAAGAAAACTTTCACGCCATCTAATAGACAGACGCAAACCTTTTGCATAGGGGTTAATCATGTCCAACCATCTTATTTTGAGTACCTGAAATACGTGGCATGTTCACGGAATATTGGGACACGGTGGATAAGGTGTTAATGATATGCCGTAATTACAAGGGCACATTCCTGAAGTCAGTTTGGGTGGAAAAGTTCATGTAAATATACTAAGTGACATATGTGTGAACACCCAGTTTAAATGGTTTTATTTTAATAAAAGTTGGTGAATGTATTTATCTTACTGTAAATAACAAGTGAAAAAATGTTCAGCCTTATCAGTTGGACATTCCGGTTTTTATACTGCTTTTTTTTAATTCACTAACGCTCTAAAAATGAATATTTCAGCCGCAGTAAAGAATCAACGTTGGCAGATTTTGGTTCTTGACATCCTTTATGATCGGTTACGATGCCTAGAGTACGGAGACCTGTACGATTTCGTCAACTTAGTGAGTTTGATAGGGGCCGTATAGTGGGAATTCGGGAAGCTGGACTTTCTTTTCGGGCAGTTAGAGTGCAAAGAAGTGTACACACTGTGGTTAGGTGTTGTCAGGCATGGCTTCGAGAAGGCCGTACGCAAAGAGCACGGGGCACTGGACGCCGCCGTAGAACAACAGACCGTGAAGATGCCGCCTAAGATTATTGGCCTTAAGGGACCGTTTCTCCACTACCAGGTCCATTGCAAATGAATGGTTTGCAGAACACGGAAGACCTATTGGCATGCGAAGTGTTTACCGACGAATGAGAAGTTTTGGTTTGTTTTCATACCGGCCACACTGGGTCCTCCCTTTAACTCGAGAACACCGACGTAATCGCCTTGAGTGGTGCAGACAACGGTCACTCTGGGATCAGGAATCGAACAGTATTGTCTTTAGTGACGAGTCTCGATTTTGTTTAGGCATGCACGATGGTCGTGCCAGGGTTAGAAGGCGACGTGGTGAAAGGAGGAATCCACAGTTTTTTGTTGAAAGACATGTTCATCACACTGTTGGAGTTATGATTTGGGGTGATATAGCTTATGGTTCCAGGTCACCTTTAATCTTCATCAGAGGTAACATGAACGCGCAGCGCTATATCCACGAAGTTCTAGAACCCCATCTTTTACCCTATCTTGACACCCTTTCAGATCCAACTTTCCAACAAGATAATGCCCGACCACATGTTGCAAGAGTCACAATAGACTTCTTTCAACATAATGATGTCACATTGTTACCATGGCCACCAAGATCTGCCGACTTATCCCCAATTGAGCACGTGTGGGATATGATGCGTAGGAGATTGCTCAGTTTGCAACGTCCTCCTGAGACTCTAGAAGCACTTCGAGAGGAGTTGGTGGTTGCCTGGAATGAGATACCACAGGAGGACATTGACCACCTGATCAGAAGCATGCCTAGGCGCGTTGGAGAATGCGTAGCACATCAGGGTGCAACCACACATTATTAAAGGTCAAAGAGCTTTAAAGCAGTGCCATCATTTTGAAATTTTTATCATTTACTTATTATGCTTCATTAAGTACTTATACAAAATTTTATTAAAATAAAACCATTTAAACTGGGTGTTCGGATTTATATGTCACTTAGTATATGTGTCCTGAGAAGTCTGTTTTACAAGAGTCAAGGTTTTTTTAAGAAATGGTTTTTTATTAATATCTCAAAGATCCTTGTATAGATTTTGTTGAACTTTGACAGTGTTATCTATTGCAATCAAGCTAGCACTAACTACAATATAATTATAAATTCCAGTGTCATCTCGGGAACAGTCTGACGAATAATATTGACAAAAACATTTACGCCTATGACTGTTAAAAAGTATATACCGTATATATTGTCTAAGAAAGGCGCGCCCATATTTTTGGGATAAAAAGTTCTTCCTAAAATAACAAAAAAAAATATAAATATCCAAAGATGCTTTCCCACAGAGATAAAAACAGATAAAAATAGAATTTTTCCACTTCCCGGTATCTCTTCGTATCAGTTTTCGTTTTCGAGGAAAAAATAAAAGCAACTTTATTGTATGACGAAATATTGTAAAAATAACATCAATTCAAACTGGACGATGTACAAAAGTATGTACAAGTCAGCTCGAAAACGGAGTAAGATACAAAAACGTTGTATCATTAGCTGCTTAATCCCAAAAATATATACTCGTATTTCTTAAAAAGTCATTGCCGTACATTTTTTCAATATTATTCGTGAGACTGCCCCCCCCCCCCCGAGACGCCACTGGTATTCATAATCATCTTATAGTTAGTACTAATTTAGCGTCTTATTACAATGAACAATACAAAATGGACTCCAGAATCCTTGAGATGTCAATCGAAAACCATAATTTTTGTAAAACTCTATCTTGATAACCTGACTTTGTTATGAACTTTTTTCACTCAAATGTAGTTTATCAATGTGCTCTTGTAATTACGGCATATGATTAAGTAACACCCTACATTTTAATGTTCGATGTTCGAGAGAAGTTACTAAGTACACTACTGGTTTCAACTTTACTGAAATCTAGCTTCAAGCTCAAACATACTCTATTCAAAAAAGGCAATGCGGATGAAAAAGTATTCTAACAATACGGGAAATGCCAATATTCTAAAAAGACGAGGATATATTTACAGCTTGCATGGTCAAGAAAATGGAAGTGGTAAAAATATCTATAAACTCTATAAACGACAAGTTTAAGTTTTTTTTTCTCTCATTTTACCACTTCCGCAGTCGTATCAAAAGAACTCCTGTCACCGTGAAGTGTTTTTCTGGAAAAATGTCTCACAAACAGATTGAAAAAGGCGTTCTACATCTAGACATATCAGGGTGAAAGAATATTAAAAATCGGCGTCTCTCAAGGTGAGCGAGAAACAGGAAATTTGAATATCATCAAAGAGAACGGCCTTTTCAGTGAGTTTGGTATAACAATACATGCGTCATAAAGAATGTGCTTTGAAGCAAAATCATATCAAAATATCATCTGATATTAGCTCAGAAAAGGAACGAAACAATTTTCAACCAGGATACGTTTTCCAATATTTATGAGACGTAGATAGTATTTTATGTGGAGTGAATTTATTTTAAAAATGATACACCATTCTTTATACATATGAAAGAAACTAAAAAAAAGGACAAAACAACGAGTGTAAATATTTTGTGTATATACATATACTTACAGCATGCGTATCCTGTTTTTAGTTTAAAAGATGAACATGGCAACATTGCGTTTCTCCATTGGGCAGTAATGAATGTACAATTGTAATGGGTAGCACATACTTTTGGAGAAAAGGATAATTTCATGAGATTTATTCACTGATAAAAGAAAGTACGATTTAGAAATTAGAATGACGAAAAACTCCGTTCGAAATTCACGTCACCGAAAATTGAAATTTGAAAAAAGTTATTCTTAAAAAAGCTTTTTTTTTATTCTGATGATTTTGTTTGGTAAATAATACAACCCGATACAACTGTTGTTTATGCTGAAAAATACATCTGAATGTATAATAACCTTATTAAGGAAAATATGCCATAAGGTTTCTCAGACCTCAAGTTAATCGTTATAAAAATCCAAAGAGGCATTATTTTTCGCTTTTTATCAAAAAATTACCCATATATAGGGATTGAAATGATCCAAAAATCTGATGACTCCGAAGTTCGACGCCGTTCAGAATTTTAACTTCCCCTATAATAGTTCCGGAAATAAAACTTGGTCAGTCATGTTATCTTTTCATGATTATAAAAGTTATACCCAAGAACTATAACAAATTCTGAGGAGACTCAAAGGTTACAGCTTAATTCTCAAATTAAATCAAGCTATTCTTCATATATCACACGATTCAGATAAATTGTGTCTGTCACAAATTCCACCAATCAAAAAGGATTCGTGACTTACTCGAAACACGTTATCACTGGACGTTTTATTGAAAATAACAGAGTCTCACGTTTGCTGTATACATTTCTGCTTAATAAACTCTTTGAAGGCTTAAATACAATTCCACAATGCTTATTCTTTAAACAAAAAACAAGTAAATAATCTATTTACTTGAACCCTGTTCCTCAAGCCAGCTCTGTCACTGTTAACAGAGAGATGTCGCGCCCTCTAATGGACGGTAGAACGACTACGCGATCATGCCGTGTCGCGGTGACAGTAGCAAGGCTAGCAGCAGTCGCCCTACTGCACAGTAGATGGCGCTAGAGCTCCCTGTCAACAGGGGTGGCTTAAGGATCAGCGGTTTTTGCACGGTAGTCAAGTAAATTGAATCTTTACTCGGTGCTTGTTAAGAAATATAAGTATTATAATAATAAAAGAATTTTTCGAGCAGAATTTCGTACAACAACAGTAGGACACTGTTATTATCAATAAAATTATCATTCAATTGCTGCCATATCTATCTAGATATTGCATCATATTTGATTCTACGAGTACGATTCGAGTAGGACGCAATTGCTACTTTTCTGACCCCATTACACAAATCGTGTAATTTTTCTTTAGTTTGAGAGACATTTTACAAGAAATCGATCATATTTTTTATATCCATTACTTCAAAGAGGCCTTCTCATTTGTTGAATTTGTGAGCCGGAATTTAGGGGAAAGTTCAAATTCGGCGGCAGTGTCGAACTTCAAAATCATGAGATTTTGGGGTCATTACAACCACTAAATATCCTCTTAAAACAAAAAGTAATGCCTCCTTTCAAATTGTGATCTAGTAAAGCTTTTAGGTTTATCCTCAATGTCGAAAAAAAAACTGTTTTTTCGAGGTTGCTTTTCGATCCCCGAAATCATTATCCAGGACGCAATGTTGCCGTTTACATCGACCTCGCTTACAAACCGGATACACAAGCCGTACAAACGCCGTATTTCGGTGACAGAGAGAGAGTGACGTAAAAAAAAATTCGAGTCTACTCTTGTTGGCACTGTCGTCACACTTACGCATTCTCCATCTCCGCACAAGCTGCAGCACGCCATCTGTCGGCTCAACGACGTCCTAAGCAGCAGCGGCGGCGCGGTCGCGGCGTGCGTCAGTACCAACGGCCGTCGCTAGGTGGCGCTGTGGCTGCTTCCGCCCGCGCAGTAGTCGAACGGGCTGCTTCCGCCACCGCCGCCGCCGTCGACGCGGTGCAACAAAGCGAATTGGCAACCGCAGTCGCGCGATTCTCTGGTTCGACGGGTGGCCGATGAGGGCGCTCGGAAGCACTGGTCCCAGGCGCAGCAGCACTATTTTAGTAGGTTAGTAGCGGTTAGATAGGTTAATACAGACAATGAAGTGCGCATTTTGAGTATAAGTTGTCAGGATTAAACAGGATGCTATCGTGGAGACATTAATATATCTCAAAACAGAAACATTTATAAAGTTTCAAAAAGGTATCTAATGGTGACCTTGAACGTAAGCTTGACCATGCGCTTCAAGGTCATTTGAAGGAAAAAGAGCTTTCTTAAATGGAAACCTCTTTTTTGGCATCGAAAATATAAAGACCTTACAACTTCGTTTCCGACAATTTTTTTCTAGGAAACAAGCAGAAAAATAAGTGTAAGTCTACGATAATTGTATAATAGCTAAGGGAATAGAAGTATGTATCTGCTTCAAATACAGGGTGTCCGCAAAGTTGGGGTTTTCCTTTACACGACGTGTAGATCTTGAAAACATAAGCAATTTTTCTTAGTACCATATAGACCAATGTCTTAAGGGAACCGAGATAAAGGGCTCTGCAACATAAAAAATATCTGAATACCGTCCTGTAGCCGCGACCCGCCGCGATATCCCAGACTGGTACCGGCTACTAGCTGAACCCGACGACAGAACTGGGTCGGGGGTCGGGGTCAGTGTGTCAGGTCAGTATGCAACCTTCAACCGACGGTAAAGGGTCACGCGTATAGAGGTAACGAACCCGTATAATCGATTGCGTTTCAAAAAAAAAATAATAATGGCACACTCATACACCAATAATGAACTCGTTGATATGTTGTTAATTTATGGCGAATGTCTTCAAAATGCTACAGAATCGTCGCGAGTGTATGCAGATCGTTTCCCTAGACGACATCATCCAAGGCCCCGCAGATTTGTGTACCTGGTCCAGAGAGTCAGGGATACGGGCGATTTGGAGGAATTTCCAGGTGGGCACAGTGGGAGGCCTACACAACCACGAATGGTGCAAGTTGAGGAAGAACTACTGAATCGCGTAGACGAGAATCCCTCAACAAGCGCTAGAGACGTGGCTAGAGAAGTGCAAGTATCAAAAACTAAAGTGTGACAAACGCTGCGTGAAGAGGGGCTGTATCCGTTTCACGTCCAACGTGTACAAGCCCTTCAACTTGACGATTTTCCAGCAAGCGTGCGGTTTTGTGCGTGGTTGTTGCATCAACATGACAATAATCCGGACTTTTTGAAGTGCATATTGGTGACAGACGAATCTACGTTCAAGCGTAATGGGGTGAATAACTTTCGCAAAACTCATGTTTGGTCAGTAGAAAATCCGCACGCTGTCCGTCGGGCACATTCTCAACAAACATTTTCGGTGAATGTTTGGGCTGGCATGGTGAACGGTATGCTCTTCGGACCATTTATTCTCCCAAATCGATTGGACGGGATGCAATACCTAGACTTTTTACGCGACATTTTGCCTTCCTTGTTAGAAGATGTGCCATCAAGTGTAAGACAATCAATGTGGTTTCTGCACGATGGTGCACCGCCCCATTTTAGACGCGAAGTGCGTGAGTTTTTGAATGAATTATTTCCGAATAGGTGGATGGGACGTAATGGACCCGTACCGTGGCCTCCGCGATCTCCAGACTTAACACCATGTGATTTTTTCTTTGGGGAGAAATGAATCGCTTAGTGTACAAAACTGAAGTGCATACGGTTGACGAACTCAGAACTGAACAAGCTGGTGCTTTCATTCGGGGGAGGGACTCCATTATCAAAGCCTGCACCGATGCTTGGCTACGTCGTGCACGCACCTGTGTTTTTGAATCAAACGGCGATAACTTCGAACAATACCTATAAAGTACGTTTACTTAAAAACTGAAAACGCGGCAACGCCGTCTTATTTGTTTGGTCTGCACCACCGCCGGCGTCTGCTCGGTAGCGCATGAGCTGATTTCATTTTCTGTTGGAGCGGTATGATTTCAGGCAGAGACGTACTTAGCCCTTCTCGTCAACTGGAGAGTGAATACTTTTTCCTTTATTTTTTTTTTACTTGGTCGCCCTCGTTTCACTACACATTACCTTTGTTATTTCAAGGGTAGTTTTTTCTGAAAAGGAAAACCCCAACTTTGCGGACACCCTGTTTATTCTGCATGTTTGAAAATAAAATCTTAGTTGATAATGGACAATTTTAATTTGGGGCCTCGTTGTGGGACCTTATTGTCAAATCGCTGAATTATGAGGTTTTTGAAAGTTTCTTTATCTATAATAATTTTCAGCTGCAAGTTATGAACGTGTAAGCATACGAAATATTCCAAACACATTCTTGCATGCAGCTTAATTCCTCACGAATTCCTCCTAGAAGGTTCACAAGTCGGGCTAATGTCTCTTATCTCGACCGACCTAAGGCCCGTTTACAAGTATGTTATATATTCCAGTCCTCTGGGCACTTATTCCCAGGGTAAGCTTCCACTGGTATCATTTACACGCAAACGGGTATAACGGTCGCTTCTAAAATCAAGTAGTGCGCGTTGTGAAACTAATTACAGTGATACTGTGCTAATGGTGAGCGACCACTGAGTATTTCCTTTATTCTACTTCTAACGATAATAATTTTATATTCATGAACAGGAATGTCTCTAACCATGTCTATAAAGATGCTGTGCTTTTTGCTTCATATTTTAATGATCGGTTACGACTTTAATATTTATTGATATTGAATATCCGCTTCAGATAGTCATGTTAATTACTGCTCGGTTCCCTCTGCTAGGGGAAATGTCGGAACGCTTTGGACGTTAAAACGACGGCGTGACAATCTAAAGTGTATCTAACGAAGCTACAAAGTAATCGTAAACAGTGGTTGATTCGTGATCAACGCGTGATCGGTAGCCATGGCGCTCTGTCGGCCTCTTCCTGATTGGCTTGTAGCGACGAGCCTCCAGACAAAGTCGCACGGTTGCCACGCTCGGCGAGTTTTCGCCAGAGTGGTTGATCACATTCGCATGGATCACAAATCAATCTGTTGGTGCAATACGTGCAATAACTGTTGTAAAGGACATTATATAACAATAAATGGCATCACAAAGGTATATTCCAATTTGATCTGCAGCAAATTATGAACGGCATATACGGAAATGCGAAAACAAGCTCAAAAAGGTGAAGAAAATTTTTGTGCAATCTTTATAGTTAAATTTTTCCTAAGAGATAGCATCAGTGAGGGATTTTTTTTCTATTGTCTTATTTTTCACATTAATGCGATGACGAGGTATGTGGCCCTATCGCAATTGAAAATAAGGTTTCGATAATCCTTCCATAAAGTTTCGATGAGTACATCTGAGATAACCTTGAGATATTCTTCAGGGAAATACAAAAATCTCCTTTTGTGTTTTTTTGTGCAGATTTATGTATTAAAATGCTATCCGCAATCTATTTTCCGTGCACACACCTTCAACCGAATGTATGCCATATATGATATTACCGTTTCCAACTTTCACCAAGGTTAATAGGAACCATAACAGCTCCCTACCCTTCCCCCCTATAAGAATATCGATTTGTAGCCTCACATTTCAAGGTTAGACTTCTTGTAATGTTTCTGTTCAACATTCGGCGATTTCTGACAATTTTCCCAATAAAACATGATCATTGTGACATTAAGCCTGGCAACGCTGCATAGTAGAGGGAACTCTCAGCGTCACGTTGATGGTTCGTCACCACGCACAGGATTGTAATCAGTTACGGATACCCGTTTATGAGCGCGAACGTTTTATGCACGTCTTGACTTGATTTTTCTTGCGGAAATTTAATATTAGTCTAAAATGTCTGACACAGATACAGCTGATGAAGTGGTTGAAATCAGCTTAACGTCACCCAGAAAAAGGGCTAAAAAGCTTCATCTTAGCGCAGGTGAAAAACAAATTATTCTAAATATCTACAAGAACCAGATGCAAGAGAATAGTGGATTGGCCATAGAAAATATCGTATGTAAGGTTGCTGAAATTTCTGGAGTAGGTCGATCAAGTGTTTACAAAATCTTGAAGGAATATAGACAATATCACTCACTATCTGAGCCAAAAACATATCCAGCGAGAAAAAAAATCATCGAAAAAATAGATGACTTTGACAAAAGTGCCATTAGAAGAAAAGTACATCACTTTTTCTTCAAGAATGAAATACCTACAATAGATAAAATATTGAAGCAAGTGAATGATGATGAGGATCTGGCAAATTTTAAAAGATCTACGTTCCATAAGCTGTTGAAAGAACTAGACTTTCGATTTTTGAAAAGAGGAAGGAATAGTTTATTGATAGAAAAGGAGGAAATTGTTATCTGGAGGAGAGAATACCTTAGAAAAATTAGGCAATTCCGCACTGAAGGAAGAAAAATTTATTATTTAGACGAAACATGGGTGAACGCGGGGCATACGCAGGGAAAGGTTTGGGTAGACAGATCTGTGAGGTCCTCAAGGCAGGCTTTTTTAGATGGCCTTTCGACGGGATTGAAAAATCCTGCAGGTAAGTTTCGAAGTATATGAACTTTTTTGGATGCAGATAATTCATTTTCTGATCGAATCAATGATTTGGAAGCTCCGAACTCAGTTTTGCTATCTCATCCAAGTTTCTGAGTATTTCCTTCACCCAAAAACTAATCTAAGACCCTATCCTACACTAACCTAAAAAGAGTAAGTTGCTTAATTTCGTCATTTAGTGCGCTCGCTGAGAAGTAAAATAATTGTGAGCATTTGAATCCAAAAAAACTGGAGACTATCACGAAGAAATGGATGGTAACTCATTTGAAAATTGGTTAAAAAAAATTTTGCCGACACTTGATGATAACGCAATTATTGTGATGGATAATGCCCCGTACCACTCCAGAAAATTGGAAAAAATTCCAACAATGGCCACCAAAAAGGCAGACATTCAACAGTGGCTTGTCTCAAAGAAGATCGACTTCGACCAAACAATGGTCAAAGCTGATCTGATAAATATAGTCAAGCGACATAAGTATAAATATGATTTAAACATTTTTGACGAAATGGCCAAAAACCAAAATAAAACGATTCTCAGGCTGCCTCCC